GGGTTGAAATAAACACTTCCTCAACATTGGACGATCTTTGTTGCCATGGTTACAATCATAACAACGCGGTTAACTTTTTACCGAGCGGTCACGGATAATAGAAACGACACAAACCGCTACTTTCACTTGGGAGTCAAACGTGTTTCGTTAATCACACTTTTCCCTTCGCTCCTGTCATAATTACTACGACCACTAGATGTCGCCTAGCAACGAAACGCAACTACGGGTCATAATAACCCGCTGCACAGACGCCCTGGGGGCTATTTCTGTCAGCATCATGTGTCCACTGTGTGAAAGTTTTCGTGAAAGTAAAAGCCTGTCTTTTATTGTTTGGTTTTTGTTTGTTTTTTTATGCTTCTGTTTAGTAAAATACTGGATACCTTTCCTCTTCTGGCCAGAACCCCATTTAAACCAAACTGTAAAAGGAAAATAATCACTTTTTGGTTGAACTGCTCACAGCTCATGTCCACTTAGTGATGTTAGTGGGTCACAAGCAACAAGGAAGAAAAGGTCAGAAAAGAACTACTGGTCTAGAATAGCATCTCATGCTGCAGCATTAAGGGGTTTAAAGCAGGACAGTCTGAACAAAAGCACACTAAAGTATGTGGGTAGGAGGATTCACATATTTCTGACTGTATCATGTTTTTACTAAAATGCCATTTCAAACAAAAACACTTTTTAATGGTTTTTTTTTAATGCACTGATTCAGGATCTGTGAGGTTTTGTGGAAGGCCGTTCATGATTAAGTCAGACAGGTTTGTAGCTGTTGGAAGATGAAGCTAGGCCAACAGTTTTACCCCCCTGCGTCGAGTTTTTATGCTAAGCTAGGCTAACACACACTCCGCACCTCTCCCTGCACCGGCACTTCTCAAAGACGAAACCGACATCCATCATCTCGTGTGAATAAGACAGAAAACAAACTGTGGTGCAGAGCAGCTGCTCATTCAGAGGATGATACGCTCACTTCTTCACTGAAACACCGTGAGTGTCAGGGTTTAGTTTACGTTACCGTGGTGACATTTATTTATCCAACACCTAGAGGAAGACTGAGATGGTCGACTGTTGAACTTGCTTGTTCTTTCTGACAGCAACATGAAAGATGGTCGACTGTGCAGCAGGTTGTTATGACCAGTAGTTAGGTTTTGTTGCTAAGCGACATCTAGTGGTCGTAGCAACTGTGACGAGAGCAAAGGGAAAAGTGTTGGTGACGTAGGATAAAGAGAGACAGAGACCACGTCAGGAGGAGGTTGTTATGATCGTAACCATGACAACAAACATCATCTAATATTGAGAGAGCACTCATTTCAAACCAAATCACGATCTTTTCCTAAACCTGACCAAGTCGTGACCGTTATTGTAGTAACCATGACAACCAAGGTCCAAGGCACGGTGGGTGGAGGACTGAGTTGGAAAGATGGCCGACAGAGATTAACGTTAACATCGCATCCACAGCACGTGATCATGTTACATCAGCTTAGCTCTTAGGATTTAAACAAACATGTTGTCTGTGAACATTTTACTGATCAATCAGTATCAACATTTTTTCCAAATATGTAAATTTCTTCATTATATTGATAGAAAACATAATAATAAAAAAAATGTTGTATTGTTCATGTGATTTGTAGTTAAAAAAGGAGAAAAAAAGAAGCTGAGAAATGAGCTTCTATTTTGAGACACTTCTTGCAGCTGGCATGTTTATCAAGCACTGCAGCCGCCCATGAGGCGAGCGCTGGAGTGGAAAACAAAATCACCTTTGTCTATCAAACAATATCTCCACAGTATGTATGTCTTCCATTTCTATCCGGGGGAAAACAGCTGAGCTTATTGTAACAGGTTCCATAACAAAAATGAAACACATTTATCTGAGTGAAACAGAGAAAAGAAAATGGAATAAAGTTATGAGGAAACTGCTGAAGTCTGAAAGGCGACATGTTTTTGTGCTGAAGAACAACGGCGGTGAGTTGCACGTGCTGCTGCTGCTTTTTGATGTGAATGTGTTTATGATGATGATGATGATGATGATGATGATGGCTGCACCTTTATCCCTTTTGCTGCAGATGGAGATAAACTGGACTCATTCTTGAACCTGTGACATTATACATTAAAAAAAGACGCTCAACCCAGGAACTATGCAGCGTTCAATAACCTGCAGGAAACCTGAAAAGCACCGTGAACATCCACAGTGACAGAGGAAGGTGATGATATTGAGCGGCCTTTGGAACTGTACTGCATTTCTTTTCTTACAAATAAAGCTGAACATCATTTTTTGGAGAAATTATATGAAAAAGAAATCCAACAACAAAAGATAAGCTTTTCTTCACCAATCAGAAGCTGAAATCTGATGAAAAATGTTCTTGTAACCACAGACACAAAGACATGCAAAGTATCCCCTTTTAATGTAGAAAAAGTACAAAAATAAACACTTTTGTGGACAAAACGCGACACCCGACTGTGTGACTTGAATCCAGCTGTGCCAAAAGAAAGACGGTAAAGGATGAGAAAACAGCGTCCAGGAGTCCACCACCGCTGCGTCTGCTGCAATGCAGGATGAAATATTTTCGATCGGGGACGTGGTGGTAAATAAACAGTGTGTGAATCCTGGCACATGCTGCAGCTTAAACTCATCAACCCTCCCATTTCTGGGAAGTTAATGTCTCTGTAATTAACCAAAAGTACAAACTGCTATTTACAGAGAGGCCGTGATTAGCCAGGCAGGCAAAGTGAAGCTACAGTAACTATTACTCAGCAGTGTTAAGTAAGAAGGGAAAATACATCATCTTACACGGTGCTGTTAATGTTTTTAACAGCCTATACAGTTCAAGAAATATTCTACAGTTGGTTAGGAAGCATAAGGAACAGATAGCAGCGTCACAGTGTCGGCTAATCCGGGCGTTTAACAGCTCAAACTGAAGCTAACTAAAGTTATCATGATAACATGATATGACAGTAAAGTTTTGAGGTACTTGAGTATTTCCATTTTCTGCCTCGTTATACTCTTATTAATATTACAAACTATTACCAACAAATAAATGATGTACAATTACAGATTAAGCTACACAGGAGTATATAAAGTAATTAAAATGAGCCCCTACCTGACGTCATGCTTACACATGAGGGCATCAGTAACAATAATACCATTCAATAATATATATTAAACTAAAATGGGTTATTTAGCATAATAAACACTTTACCTTTTGGTACTTCATGTTTATTTTCATGCTACTACTTTTGGGCTTTTACTTCTAATGGAGTATTTCTCAACTTTTCCTTTATTCAACTTAAATCAATTTCATAACTTCTGAATCTGTTGCAATAAATCACATTATCTTTGCGAGTCACAGCATTTCTCTGAAGAAAAGATGATTTCTAATTAAAAGAATCACTTATATACAGATCTACTTAATGCATGAAGTGGTTGCAGCTGAGATAATAATGTGACAGCAATATGTCTTCATGTCAGTTCACACTGCAAAAATAATCTCTTCATGAAGTCATTTTCCCTCTCGTAGTCTTATATTCTTGAGTCAGAACTTTAAAAAAAAAAGAGATTGAAAAATTCATAATGCACTGACATTTGTCCTCTTTTTCTTTTAGGACTCAATAAAAGGCAGGACTTTTTTTTCTTTTCTTTTTTACAGTGTAACAGTAATGTGTTTTCTGAATAAAAGCAAAAGGTGAAATGAATTTTGCCTTTTTAATTCTTTTTGAATGATGCATTTGGATTAGCCCACTAAGCAGATGCACTGAGACGGAGGCAGCCATATGCAAAAACATAATCCATATGTGTTGTGTGTAATATCACAGTACAGTAAGCTGCTTTGGATAACAGCCTGCATCCACCCCATGCTGCGTTTTGTTCATATAATAGGCGCTGCTGTAATAACAGCCATAATGTCGAGTAAATATCAGTATATTTTCATCTATAAGACTCCATTTTGTTTTATTTCCCCCTCTCTCTCTCTCTCTCTCTCTCTCTCTCTCTGCTCCACAGTGGCGGGAAAAGCCTGTACTCTGACTGAGCTCGAGCTGTGCCTGGCATCACCACTTGCCGGTTGTCGCCTGTAGGTGGCGCTCAGAGCGCGAGAGACGGCAGCTCCGAGCCTCCTGTGGCAGGACGGAGCTGGGAGAGAGAGAGAGGCAAAGAGACGTAGGGATACAACTGAAGAGAGAGAGAGAGAGAGAGAGAGAGAGAGAGAGAGAGCGCGGTGACAGAAAAAATAGAAAGAGGCATAGAAGCATTTATTTACTGTATATATGGGAGGAAGTGGAGAGAGAGAGAGAGAGAGAGAGAGAGAGAGAGAGCTGAGGTTTTAACTGTTTGAATTTGAGAGTGTGGCAGATAAACATCCTATCAAAGTGTGTGCGTGTGTGTGCGCGTGTGTGTTTCATCCCTTTAAACCGCAGTTTTCTCCCCTCTCATGTTTAATCTCGGCTGATGGAGGCTCGGACCTGTGGCTCCGAGCGCACTGCGCCGCACACACTCACGGTTTCACCGGTAATAAAGAAAAAGAAAAACGCGCGCGCACCGGCTCCGGTTTGTTCACATATCTTTGTAAAAAAAAAAAAAAAATGACACAAAATGTTGGGAAATCCACCGAGTTAGTTTGTTAGGGGGTGGATGCTCGCTCCGCCTCCCCGGTATAGTGTATAGTGTATAGGGGGAGGGAGGAGGTGGGGGGGGGGAGAGGAGGGAGAGAGAGAGAGAGAGAGAGAGAGAGAGGGGAAAGAGCGAGCGCAGTCGTTTGGATTCACTCCACTTTCTCATCACACACAGTGCAGCCGCGCTGGACCGGGAGACGGACAGAGTTTGTGGCGGCAGAGCGGTAACCGCGCGTCGGGGTGGAAACTAACCGGACGACCGCTGCTGACAACTCCCGGATCTACCGGACATAGTGTTTCTTGCTTGGGTGACTTTTAACCGTTTTTTTTTACCCCCCCCCCCCTTTTTTTTCTCCCTCTCTCCTGCCCCGGTGCTCCGTCCGCTTACACCACCACCACCACCTCCACCCCACTACCTCCCCAAGCGTGCCATCAGCGGAGGATGCTGCTGCTGCCGGTGTCGGTACAAACTGCCCGGTGGTAACGGTTCTTGAAGGAGTAGCGGTGAGTGAGTGACCCCCTGTTCAGACGGGTCTCCACCCCACACACACACACCCCACGGCTGGGCTCTAGCTCCAGCCGTTACCCCGGAGAGAGGAAGGACCGGCGGGTCGACGCGCAGCGCTGGTCACGACAGTAAAAGTGGACAGAAATTGTGAGAGGAATTGGAGGAATAATTACCCCCGCCTGTCCGACTGGATTGTTTGATTTGTTTTAAGGTCTTTTTCCGGTGGATTGTTAATTTCGGGGTTTTTTTTTTTTTTACTGCCGGAGGTCTGGAGCGGCTCCGTCTGGGTACCGAGGAGGAGCGGAGCCTGTAGCCGGGCTGGAGCGCTCAGAGCTGGGGAACCGCGCGGCTCGCACCCGGTCCAGGTAGGAACTTCTCTACCGCAGAACCGGTTCACGCAGAATCTCATTCCTAGATCTTTACATAACAACATTCCTGTTAAATGCTTCAAATATTTTCCACCTGAACCCTCCTGTCAACGCGCTGGTCTGTAGGAGACGCTTTACGCACGAGAACAGACAGAGTATATTCACTTTATTCTGAATTTCGCCTGGATGAGCACTTGTGCCTTAATTAAAAAAACACACATACTCGATGGAGGATCCATCTCTGAAGGCGCACAGGCGTTTGTAACGATCCAGCAGCTGCTTTTTTAAAACACTTGTTGGCAAAATAAACCAATTTAGAGCGATTGAATGTTCATATCCAGCGTCTAATCTCCTCTGATGGGTATTTTACCTATATTACACTACAGTGGCATTGATCCGTATCGATCCCCTCCGTCTCAAACATTACCTCCACGTCTGTCAGTAATAAAATACAGCTTCCTGCGGGTCACTCCGGGTTCCCTAACCTCCCTGGAACTGAAAAATCACTACAGTAATCCTGTATAATGCATTTTCAGGGGGAGAGAGTGCAGCAGGATCCGTGCACGGTTGCCTATAGTGCGCATAGGAGCATCATCACAGTGGGGTTTCATTATGGCTCCATCTGAGGCTTTAAGAGTTCTGCAGGGACTCTGCAGGGAGTCCACGGAGGAGAATATAAAATGGCAGTAAAAAAAGCTTGTCATTATAATCAGAGGTTTGTCTTCCCACTGTAATATTGGAGCTAATCTGCCTTCAGGGACTCCTGGGGCTGCTTCAAGCAACAATACAACAGTCCATTCATCTGAGGCTTCTCATAAACCAGTCATACAGGCGGGGGTGGGGGGGGGGGGGGGGGGGGGGGGGGGGGGGCGCATATATCTCTCCATATCTGTTTCTCTGTAAACCCTCACACAGCACCTGAGGCCTCCTGGGCACCTGTAGCATCAAATTTAATGCCCCCTCCCTTCATGTTTACCCCCCTCCCTTGCGAGGAGCATTATTTTTGCTGTATGTGCTGTTAACATGAGCTTCAACCCAAATAAAGGCGGTGGAGTTTCAGTGTAGACTGTAGAGCCAGACAGGGAGAGCAGGTGGTGATGGATACCCACCACCGGTGTGTCACCACCGGGGAATCCTGTCCGGCCGGTCCCTCCGGTCTCCGGCTTTCCACCGGTCCTCCTCCTTCCTTGTGCTGTGGTGGAGGGAGAGGAAGAGGGTGGGCGTCCGACCTGCTCTACATGATAGGGAGAGAAGGAGAGAGAGAGGGAGGGAGGGAGGGAGGGAGGGTGGGTTGGGTATTTACATGCAAACTGCATCTGCCTCTCCCTGACAGAGAGCGGGCTGTGGTAGTAAACGCTGTTGCTGTGGTCGTTTTTTTTAAAGTGCCTTTTCAGAAACGCTGTGTGAACGTTCTGGAGATGTTTCGTCAGAGGGAAGCAGGTGTGTTCCTGTTCCTGCTCTTGACCTTTGACCCCATTCCCTACTACCCATGTCACCTAGCTCTTATCGTTTCCCGTGAAACGCTCAGATGACTCTGACGTTTCGTGCGACTCGACCTGAAACCCGAGACCTCGTCACAGTCACACTCGGCCTCCACAGAGACATTGCGGAGCTCTGCTGCGCGGGCCGGTCTATTTCCTGGAGCTACAAGAGCATCCACCTGCTACGTCGTCGTTGTTTTGGTAAAAAGGCAAATCAGAATCTGGGTTTTGGTTAAGAAAACAGACGTAGCCTTGTGACTCGTGGCTTGAAGTTGCAGTTACACCTCTTTGCTCCAGATTATTGTCAGAAAAACGTTCTACAAACACATAAAAACCCCATTAAAGTCTCTGAGGTTCAGATTGTGGTTTCTGGTCAAACTGGAGGATTCCCCCTGTGCATTATCTCAGACCTCTGCTCTGGTTTCTGCCAGTGTAAACATATATTCAGGTTTATTCTGCAGCAGAAGTGGCTGAGGTGGAGATACTCTCACTGAGGTTTGCGGGTGGTTTGCACGGCGGGGCCCTGGTGTCACCCGAGCCGCTGCCGCCGCGGTGTCGAGGGGCGAGGTCTGAGGGTTGATTCCGAGCTGTGGGATTCCTCCCTGCCTCCTTTAATTTGGAGGTGCATCCATCCAATTTTGACCAGATGAAACAACAAGAAATGTCACAGTCATCCACGGCTCTGCGGGGAGGTGAGGGGGAGGGAGGTGGAGGATTAGTCAGCGGGGAGAGGAAGAGGATGAAGTGAAAAAAAGGAAAGGACGAGAAAGAGGAGGAGGAGGAGGAGGAGGAGGAGGGAGGTCGAACAGAGTCCGTTCTGCACATTTTTGCGTAAAAATTGGAGATCTGAGCGAGGCGTGTTGTTAATGCCCGTCATTAAAATGGGAGCTGGGAGAGTGGAAATGGGTTTGGTGTGTGAAATGGAAGCACACACACACACACACACACACACACACACACACATTCACATTTTCTGCTCTGCAGAAAAAGAAGTGTCCACGCTCCAGATTTAGGAGTTTTCATGGCAGGTTTCCCCCTTTTTTATTTTCCTCTTTTTCTTTTTTTAGTTCAGGTGTGACGTCACGCCTGTGCTGTGCCAGACACTCACAGTGACACACATACACAACAATTACATTCTTGGGGAAAAGAATAACCTTCCTCTCATGTGCCACGGCCGATCAGCGACAAGTCAATTGTTAAGATCTTGTTCGAAGGAAACGAGCTGTTAGTCATCTCTGGAAAATGACAGTCATCTCTGGCGCCTCGGCACAGATCACGAACACGTCGGTCCAGTTTTGACGAGAGTTTTCATTTGTAGAAGGACGGTTCATCGTCTTGACGTGAAATCAGTAAAAACCAAACAGTGGTTTATCGTATTGTTTGAGTTTCATTGTTCTCACAGTTCTGCGGGAAGCGAAAACATCCAGATTCTAACAAGCAACAATCTTAAATAAAACATTATTTATGTGTTGCAGAAGAAGCTGGTGACCCTTCAAAGTCAGGATGGGAAATGCTGCTGTTTTACCAAGTGTAGAATATAATGAAAACCGCGGGCGGAGAACTACTCCCATTCAGACTGTAGATGCACATATGCACGTTTCATATGAGACTATTCATCTTCAACTTCCATTTCAGTCCATTAGGATGAAGAGGGTGGAGGTGACAGCTCCATTTGCTTTTTCCTCTGCAGTCCCTTTTTTTTTTTTTTCTCCACGTTTTTGTCATTTTCTATTTTCCCAAAGAGTCAGAGGTCAGTTGTTGCACCACCTCCAGGTTTCAGTGCAAAATCAAACACAAAAATCATCAGCAGAATCATTAGAGACCGTCCTGAGGGGATCATCAACATCAGCAGCTCGTCTCGTGGATCTGTGAGTCGTGGCGGAGACGCTTCAGTGTCGGACAGATGTCGTCGTTTCCTGCTGTAAATGGGACTAAAAGCACTTTTATGGAGCCGATGCTTTATTGCTGTATTGATTTTTTTTTTTTTTTGCCCGTCCGGGTTAAAATCACTTCGATTATTTGAAAGCTGCTGCCTCCTCGCTCTGAGCACCAGGTGTCATGTCACTCCATCGTGCAGCAACACACAATCTCCGCAAAAAGGACAGCGGAGCTGCACGAGCAGCCGCAGCAGCGTCCGCACGCTCTGAGCGCCGTCTCCGCCCGTGACGCGGCGCCAGTTAATCATCAATTCTATTTATTTGTTGCTTCTTTTTTTTTTTTTAAATTATCTAAAAATAGAAAAAAAGATTTAAAGGAGATAAAAGAGCAACACTTGGAACCGGAGCGTGATCGGCATGTTTGCTTGATAAATGACTGAAATGATTAATTATCAAAATTTTCGTTGATTAGTCTTTTTCAGTCTCTCTCCATCTCAGCCGTGAGAGCAACAGTCAGCTGATGTGTTGCACATGAGACCTTTTGTCCTTGTGCTCTTGCCGTAGTCTGACATGTGGAATAAATATGTTGCTGTGGATTTAAAACGGCGTTCTGATGATTCCTGATCTTTACTTCATACCAGCCTGCTGTTCATCTGCCATCCACTCCCATAATCCCCTTTTGCTGCTGCCGCCAGAGGATCAGTGTGTGTGTGTGTGTGTGGGTGTGTGTGTGTGTGGGTGTGTGTGTGTGTGTCACATCCTGTCGGTGGAAGGTCACACGTTTGATCCCTGAACCAGTCAGATTTCCTGCCACGGTGCCTCTGAGCAAGACGCAGAACAACAGGAAGAAGACAATGATAACACCGAAACCGGTCGTGACACCATTGAAACCGGTGAGTAAGCGTGCACCGATGCGCCGCTTCCTGTCTGACGGATTGTGTGCGGCGCAGCAGGTTATCAGCTGTTCAGAGCCGCAGACTGTTTACACAAGGCGTGGGCACACTCAGACGCCGTGACACACGAGGCGTGTTGGGAGGTTTTGAAAACCATCTATCACAAACTGGTGTGAGCGGAGTGACCGTTCCCGTGTCCGTCTGCACAAGAGCCTGAAACTCACAGGTATTACATTCACTGCCACGTATGACACAGAAAAACATTCTCATGTTTCAGAATCTAATTTTTCCCAGTTTTTGCTTTAAAAAAAAAAAAAAAAGACTAAAATGATGATTTTCTATCAATCAACTGATCGTTCCAATCAAGGTTTTGCAGA